AAACTACACTAAAAGTAGACTCACATACTAAATAATATAATAAAAACCAAAATAAAAGAATACCATCGGTCCCTAAGACAGAATTCTAAGGATAGAGATATCTTAGGTGGGCGACCAACTTAACTTTTGCCCAAAATCAGATACTAGAAGTGGCCAGAGTGAACTTGCGAGCTTCGAATATTGATGAGATCTCTACAAAAGCACAGCGGGCGTTTCAGGTTCTTCCACGAGCCAAATCAAATCGATCTTCAAAAGAATCGTTATCAATTATCAGTGATTCCAGAAAATAACGGAGGGCCATCAAACACCCGAAAAAGAACAATGACATCCTAGAGGTCTATTCCAGTTTGCAACCAAGGATTTGTTTATGAGTTCTCACTGACCCTGATGATTTTTTACCAAACGCAGGTAGGCAAGGCAAGCAGAGATTTTAGGAAAACACCCTCATGTAGTGGGACAAACAGGCGAGAAAAGGCAGTGCTCTTTGTTGTGAAAAAAAAACGTCTAGAGTCTGCACCTAATCGCTATTCAGAGACATTTTCGAGTCAATGCACAGTAGTGTTACTGCTGATAGTGGAAAAATAAACAGGTGGCTGGTAAACAGAGATACGAGACACAAAAATGCTTCCAACTACCTCCTGACAGGCATCAAATTCAGACAAACTAAAGACACGGACGTCACCATCGGCTCCTATCCGAAAGCTGAAGAAGACATCATTGGAGTGTTCGCGCCACTTGTCATAGGAGGCCAACAAGTTGTCGAGCTAAAGGGTGTAAGAGTAAAGATGGAGTCAGTTCAACGGGTGGATGGGCGAATCCAAAAAGACAGGGAGGGGGGGCTTGCCCAAGTCATCGTGCCCCCGCAAACACTCACCCTTTGATGTTATAATGTAGTTAAAGGTTCGGAGGACAAGGGCAAAAGAAAACCCGAGTGGAGGCGAGAACTGGCTACTGGTTCGGCGGCTAGGGGTCAACAGGTGGCAGGTCACAGTTTGACTGCCAATTCTGACGAGGCCCCTGTACACCTCACAAGAAGGTGGCGCAGGGACGGCGAACTAGACGTGCATTTTACTTTATTGTAGTGGTAGATTTGCGTTGCATTTATCGCCTTCTCTCATCCCTCGCCTGGGCCTAGTGCCATGAGTAAGTCAAGAAGGCCAGACTCCGCTCCACTTCTTGGAGTGTTAGTGCCATAGAGACTGCATTAAAAAGAATTCGTTGCTGTCTGACTCTCGGTTTGCCGGTCGGCGAAT